TGGAGCTCCCCATGGGGCCACGAAGTGCTGTGCTGGGTGGTGGATGACGTATGCGGTCGGTCCCTCTGGGGCGTTCGGTGGAGCCACCTATGGAGATGACGCATGCGGGCGGCCCCACTGGGGCTTTCAGTGGAACCCCCTATGGGGTCACGAAGCGGTGTACTGGGTGGTGGATGACGCATGCGGGCAGTCCCACTGGGGCCTTCGGTGGAGCCCCCTATGAGGCCACGGAATGCTGTGCTGGGTGGTGGATGACGCATGCGGGCGGTCCCTCTGGGGCCTTCGGTGGAGCCACCTATGGAGATGACGCATGCGGGCGGCCCCACTGGGGCTTTCAGTGGAGCCCCCTATGGGGTCACGAAGCGGTGTGCTGGGTGGTGGATGACGCATGCGGGCAGTGCCGGTGGGGCCTTCGGTGGAGCTCCCTATGTGGCCACGAAATGCTGTACTGGGTAGTGGATGACGCATGCGGGCGGTCCCACTGGTGCCTTCGGTGGAGCCCCCTATGGGGCCGCGAAACGCTGTACTGGGTTGTGGATGACGCATGCGGGCGGTCCCACTGGGAGGTTCGGTGGGGCCCCCTATGGGACCGCGAAACGCTGTACTGGGTGGTGGATGACGCATGCGGGCGGTCCCACTGGGACCTTCGGTGGAGCCCCCTATGAGGCCACGGAATGCTGTGCTGGGTGGTGGATGACGCATGCGGGCGGTCCCACTGGGGCCTTCGGTGGAGCTCCTCATGGGGTCACGAAGCGCTGTACTGGGTGGTGGATGACGCATGCGGGCGGTCCCACTAGGGCTTTCGGTGGAATCCCCTTATGGGGCCACGAAACGCTGTGCTAGGTGGTGGATGACGCACGCGGGCGGTCCCAGTGGGGCCTTCGGTGGAGCTCCCTATGTGGTCACGAAATGCTTCGCTGGATGGTGGATGTCGCACGCGGGCGGTCCCACTGGAGCCTTCGGTGGAGAGGGAGGAGCGGGAGGAGGAGGATGAAGAGGAGGGAGGAGGGGGAGCAGGAGGAGAGGAGGAGGAGGAGGAGGAGGAGGGACGCGGAACGCTGTCTCTTCAAAACGAGGACCCAACACCAAAGGATGGTTAGGACAAATGAACGCACCGTCAGATCTATGAATTTGTGATCTCATAAGGTCGGTCGCCGCGAATGATGCAACAATCGCCTCGACACCGTGCGTATTACCGAACGGGCGGATGCACCTACGCGCGCCGCACCATGATTGAATCCCGATTCCAATTCGGTTGCTCGCTCATGGGGGTGCCAGCCCCGGTGCGCAGTGCAACGGTATTCCTCTTATGCGGAAGAGTAATTCGGTCTCGTGAAACCCCGTTGCAATCGCTCATTGATGCAGTGCTGACTGGCCACTACTCCAGAAATGCTCAAACCTTCCTTGCGGTTTCTGCAGTTGCCAATGCACATTGTGATCAAAGCTGGCAACATAGTTCCCGTGATGAGCCCGAAGTTCAACCCACCATGTCCCAAGACCGACAGCCCAAACCATTGTATGGGGTGGTATTGTGGGTCGTCGCCCACGCAAGCCGCGCCTGCGTGGATCGTCGTCAAATGGCACTCCCTCGGCAACGACGCGAAATACATAACAGCGTTCCCTAAGGTTCTCGTGATACTCCAGGCCCAGATCAAACGACATCGCCAATCCATGTTCTGTTCCACCGCGCTGCACACCTGCAAGCACAGAGATGCCAGAGCAAAGGCAGAATGAAGTGCGGAGCGCGTAAGTGTAGCAGCGTGCACAGGGGGGAGGGGGGAGACGGATGTATAATGTGCGGCGCGAGTGCGGCGGAGTCTTGCGTTCCGAAGTTCCTCGACATCCTGATGCATGACGACCGAACCACTATTGCATGCGGAATTGGGTCGATCGGCCGCGCATGCGGGAAAAGGGGTGGCAACGTTGCCCATGCTAGCGGGGGCGTGCTATCGCGGCGCAAATGTGTTCTCGCCAAGCACCTCCTCGACTTGGTGCGAAGTTTGTCGGGGCCTGCTGGGGCGCGCATTCTTTTCTCCTCCATTTTCGATTTTTGCATCAGAAACAATTGTTTCCTCCGTCGGGTTGCACCTGAAACAATGGGCACCAGGCAGTGGTTATGCAACAACGAACTCATGAGACAACAGACGCAAACGGCGTCAGGGGTGAAATAGCTTGGCCTTGAGCAGACGAGGAAGAAGAAGAGGGAACAATGAGGATGAGGAGGGGAAGGAGGTCACATAACCTCCAGGTCAGCGAAGCCTGGCGCTGGCTCCAAAGAAATGATGAGGAAATCCCCGGGGTCGTGGAGTACCATTCGCGCTGCAGATCGTTGCGGGGCAATGTCGAGCAACCCCCACCACCGGCGCAACATATTTTATCAAATGTATTTCTGGACCCGAACAGGCAAAAAGCGGCACCTCTCGAGCGCGAAAGATACCCGTACCCTTACCGAGACAGGGTGGCAAGGGTCCGGGGGGGCGCTTCGTCGAAGCTGACGGCGGCTGCACAAGTGTAGAAGCGACGGCCGATCGAGCATTGCAGACCGCTGTCTTCTCGAGGCGCACGTTAGCACCGATCGCGCGTGCGCTCGAATCGGCGGAGTGGCCGACCCCGCGTTGGTTGCTGTAGATGTAGACCAGCTGCATAGGGGGCGCGCCCCCAGAGACACATATCCCGGCGTTGAGGAATCAACGCGCGCTCGGGGGTGCATGCGAACAACTCTGGCGCGAACGTCACAGCGCGACAACCGCCCAATCGCGAATTGATCGATGCAGAGACATCGCGGCTCTGATCGCTGGGCGAGATCGCCAGAGGCCGCCCCCCTTGGACGGCCGTCCGCGGATCACCCGCGCTAGGTGCGGTTGCCCCCAGAAAACGGGGCGTCGCAGCTCCAACCCAGCAAGGTCCGGGTATGTTTCGGTGGTTTCAGGCAGGTCCCCGTACCTAGCCGAGGTGGCGGCAGGCCCAAAACGCTTTCGAGCACATCACATGCCCTCCAGAACCGTCCCCAACGTGGCCGCTGCGGCCCCCTGGGGGCGCGACATTGCAACGTCGTTCCGCAAGGCATGCCCAGACGCATTGGTTGCCAGGATGATGGCGAGGCAGCGCATCTGGTTATCAATTGGGACAGGCGCCACCACAAATGGGCGGCTTCGAGCCGCGCACGCACCGCGATGACCCATGACGTCCCTAACAAAAACCAGCGCTTGTCGCTGCAATCAGACACCCAACCATCGAGCGCGCCGTTGCGTCTTGACACGCGGATGCTGCGCTGGCGCGCGCGGGGCAAGCTGACCGGGCACAATAGCAAACGCCCAGTCCCCCAGACGGCCCATCTCACCTTGGCTGGCCCCGGGTACGGGTATCTTTCGGACCTTTTCACGGGCGAGAGAAGCTAGGCATTGGCCACTCCAACGTCAGTAACTTTCTGCCCCCAAGCAATGGACAGCCCCCAACCCAATTGTCATCGTTTTGTGGCCTCTCCAATAATGAGCCGTTTCTGTTGTTAGTGCCTCTTTTCCGTAATATGGGTGAAATAACTACGAGATCAGAAAAGAACGGTCACCCGCGTGCCAAATTCATGCCAGGAGCGATCAGATCGAAGCGTTTTGTGCCCCCTGCCGACACAGGGCGCCAGGGCAACGAAATTCCGACTGCGGGGCGGGGGGCTTGCAGCGCCTGGGCGCCGGCTGCGGTGCGCCGTTCGCCTGCCGCTGGCCGCTGCTGTTATCGAGCGTGCTGGCGGGGCGCCGCCCGCTACGGCGCGGCGCCCTTGCCTCGGGGCCTGCCCCTGCCGCCGCTGGCAGCGCCGTCGCAGGAGCGGCGAAGGCTCGCGGTGATTTGCGCAAGACGCACCTCCGCCCCAGGACGCCCCGAGAGTGGCGACAATTTCGCAGATCGCTTCCCTCCGAGGGGGCGGCGAGGTCTCGTGGCGATCTGCGTGAGACGCACCTCCGCTGGGCCCCCGAGGAGCCCGCGAAAGTGGCGCCAGTTTTGCAGATCGCAGCGCCCCAGGGGACGGCGAGGTCTCGCGGTGATCTGAGCCGGACGCATCTCCGCTGGGCCCCCCAGGAGCCCGCGCACAAGCGGCGACGGTTTCGCAGATCGCAGTCCGCCGGGGGACGGCGAGGTTTCGCTGTGATCTGTGTAAGACGCACCTCTGCTGGGCCTCCCAGGAGCCCGCAAAACTAGCGACAGTTTTGCAGATCGCAGCCTCCCAAGGGACGGCGAGGTCTCGCGGTGATCTGCGTAGGGCGCGCCTCCGCTGGGCCCCCCAGCCTTGAGGAGCCAAACGCCTCCTACAGAGGCCTGATCGGCGAAATCCTGCGGAGTTAGGAAACGAGTCGGAAACATAGTTGAAACCGACGTTCGTTGAAAACCATAAAAAAAGTTGCGTTTTGAGTTGAGCGCTTTTCAAAAATAGTTGAGTTGAGCGTTTGAGTTCAAACGCCAGCGAAAAGTTTTTCGCGGCCCGACATTGCCGAATCCAGATTGATTCACACCGCAGTTCAACACGCCATATCAAACCATACCAAGGTCGCCTTCGGGCCCAGCATTGTTGGCCCACCAGGTTGTTTCAGAGGCCCTCGGAGGAACGCCATTGAAACGCGCGCGGTCGACAGCCGTGCGCCCTCCAATGCGCCCTGGGGCCCTTGATGAGGCCCTCTTGTCCTTCTCACGCTCGGGGGGGCCCAGTGGGGTCGGAGGATATCTTCGCGGGCCGCTGTTAGGGCGAGCAAACAGATAGGTGAGGGGATGACGGGTAGGGCCTAGAGGAGGTGGACGGGGAGGAGAGCAAGGAATAGGAGGAGGAGGATCAGGAAACATAGCAGCAACATGTAAGTGCACATAGGCATTCATGGGTTGCACCGTCGCCACTTTTGGCTCAAACTGTTTCGCTCGGTTGCTCACTTGTCGGCCATGCCATGTCCGACGCTTGGCTTGCGTTCGCCCTTGGCGACTCTGGCAATGAAGATGAGGCGACTGACGTCGATGGCGCAATGGACGTCGATGGCCTTGCAGATCATGGCGCAGATGGCGCCGCAGACGTCGATGGCGCCATGGGCGTCGATGGCGCAGATCGTGGCTCGCCGTTGCTCTTCCAGCTCGTCCCGTGGTCGCCGATTGACCGACGCAGGCTCTGGTACCCGACGGTGAGGGAGGCATCGTCGATGGAGGGGCCTCTAAGAGGCTTCGCGATCGCCCCGCTTCGCCGCTCGTTCGACGTGATCTCACTACGACCTCGCGACGACGGCCCACGATACCACTGTGAGGCCACGGCGACAGTAGCCGACAACGTCTTGGACATTGAGCGCCCCCCGAAGATTGTTTCAAGGGCTGCTGGCTCCATGATCGTGGGTGGCGACAGGAGGCGTCATGGCGAGACCGTCGAGATGATTGCAAGCTGTCTCGTGCATTGCGACCGCTGTGCGCTCCAACTGCTCAACGAAAGCATCCGTAGAGATGCCGCGTCGTTGCTGCTTTTCGTGGAGTTCTCAAGGTACGACGCTACGGAGCTCAACGTTGGACTGAAACGATATGATGCGGACTCGGCTGTGCCACTCCTGGACGCTACATCTAACACGGAGGCTCTCATGGACATAGCGCCCGACCTCGCCCTTAGCAAAGAGTTGGAGTCTGCGACACTCGCCAAGGATGGCCAGACTCCGAATCGAGCACACCTGTTTGGTTCAGAACATGGTTGGGCCGCTCTGATCAGTATTAAGGATGGCGAGCGCAGACGGCTCGTCAATTTCTTCGGCCCCACGCTGACATGGACCCAGGTTGTAGACCGCGGCACGGCTAAGTGTGCAAAGCAGGCGCTCATCGAGACGTGCGGCACGTTCATTGACGCGGACCATTACGACACACGGCTACGAATTGCAACCACAGATGCCGCATCAGCGAACTATATGACCGAGAGGGGCATGATGGCGGACCGCGAGAATGGATGGGTCAACATGCACATGCCGTGTAATGTTCACAAGGTTGCGACAGGCCACACCAAAACATACGACTTGGTAAAAGATGACATCACTGGAGCCATACAACTATCACTGTCAGTATCATCAGCATCGGCCATGAGCTCCTTCAGGCGCGCATTCACCACCGTGGCTCGCAAACGATTGGTGGTGGAGCGAGGGAGGCCAACTGCGTTGGACGAGGAGTATCGGGAGACCATGCTGAACCTCTTCCTGACCAAGGGGCAGAAGCACGGTGAGAAGGCGCACATGGCCAAAACTATTCTGAACGGCCCGTGGCAGAACCACTCCAAATTCGTTGTGTACATCGATGGTGAAGGTCCAATCCCAGCCAAGGTTCGAAGACAGGTGGAGAAGAATGTTGTACGTTGTCTGAACTTTGTTTGCTTGGGGAAGTCATTCAGCACCTACCCTCGTCATCGCTGGACGGGCGCGGACGTTTCCATTAATGAGATTGGTTTGGCTGCTTGCATATACGGGCTTCTTTTTCCAGCCTGCCAGTTGTTCGTGAAGTCTGCCGCGGGCCCGAGCGACGGTATGCACGAAGGTGACCGCGCGGCTGACAGTCGGCCTGCCGACCGACGGCCCCGCGCTGGCGGCGGGCCGCGGTCGGCTTCCCCGGCGGGCGGCGAGGTGCCCATGGGCGCCGCTGCAGCGCAGGCCGCGGAACACGGACACGCGCCGACATGGCGCCAATAGAATGAGACGGACAAGAAGAATACGTTGAAATGGGTGGAGACGGAGCCTCTCCACAAGTTGATGGCGATTCGGGTCACGATGGAGCCGTGGAGAGAGTTGATGGAGGCATACTTGTTCAGCGCAGGGGAAGATTGGGAACTCCGTCAGAGATGTGCGGAAGCAGCTCACCAGCTGGACCCGCAGACGTCGGACAGAAGGCAGTTCCGTTTGTCGACGTACGCTGGGCTGGTGTACGAGAAGGAGTTCTTCGAGGATTTGGACAAGGCGTGGGACTCCAGAATGTGGGACTTCATCCCATTGCAGTCTCGTACGTTTGCATTTCGGTCAGTGTGTTTCAGGATGTTGTCAAGGTCTGGTTGCTTGGTGAACCATTATCTTGTGAAGCCTGCGGACGAGTTCCCCGTTGCCCTCTTCGCCTTGATCCTGGGTGTGGACTGCGCCAAACAGCTGCAGGACCAACCGCGCTGCTTGCGGAATGTCTTCTCGGATCATATTTTGGAATCGTATCCAGGAGACGCGCTAGGCAACGAGGAGTGCATCGCGAAGTTGATCACTGTGGCCCAGATAACGCACGTGGAGAACGTTAAATGCGAGCACGACCACTCATCTTTCAAGAGGCACGTGGATGCGCAGAGCGTCAACACGAACCGTGCGAATTTCGATTATGTGAACGCGCAGGTCATGTGCCAGAAGTTCAGGGTACGGTTGAAGCGTTGCGGGCGGATCGTCATCGCGACGCATCGGGCATTGAAGAGCAGTCGTGAAGCCAAAGCGAAAGGACGTGAAAGATCGGGCCAGCATTCCAAATCAGTCAAGAAAAACATGGGCGGGGGAGGGGAGTGGAGAGCTGTCGTAAGACACCATTCCATTGGCACTGCTGAGCGCCCAGACCTTCGACGGATTGGCGAGCTGTACAGGGCCCGAGACAAGACTGGCCCAGAGGAGATGCGTCTTGCAGCCGCGGCCGCGAGTGGGGCCCGCAGCCACAGGGCAGGCGGCGCCTCATTCGGCCCGACTACACGGGACGTTCAGAGGTTCACAAGTAATAAAATTATGAAAGCACTTGTTGATAGGTATTGCAGCGGAGCCGGATCCGCCATACCTGTCTTACCATTGCTTGGGGGCACATTCTCTCCATCGGGTTGCGACGCAGATGTTGACACGCATCGGACGGCCGCTCGATCCGCGGCGAAGCAGCTCATGGCGTCCAAGAATAAGAAGCTGGATGCCTCGACAGACATTCTCGACGCGTGGGACGCGCAGCACGGGGCGGATCGGCTTCGGAACCTCATCGAGTTGGGCCCTACGCTGGCACCTTGCCAGCCTGCCCTGCAGCCGCTCCCCTCGAGCGGCTTGGAGACTTATGAGGTCATGTTCGACTTGTCCAAGAAGGCGAGTGACATCGCTTCGTTTGTAATGGGGAACAGGCGAAGCTCCAACTTGGGATGCATCCTGAAGCGCGACTGGGCCAAGAAGAATCGGCTGATAAAGCACGACGACCAGCCTCAGTGGAAAGAGCCTGAACGGAGGAGCGAGTGTAACAAGAAGTGCAGAGGGTATGGCTACTGCGTGTGCTCGGAGGATGGGAAGCTCGTGGCCAGCCTGCGAAATTCTGTAATATCTGCCCTGAAGAGGATATGTCCACGAAAATCTGCGAACGTGCAGCTGCTGAAGGATGCGTGCTTGGTGCTGAGGCTGCAGGGCGTCAAGCCGCCCCAATCAGCATGGCTCGACTCTGCGCTCGCGGACGACGATGGCGGCCCCCCTGAGGCCTACAGTTTCAGCCGCGGCGTAGATTGGTTTCATATCGGTTTTCTTGCTTCTGAGCCCGTGCCAGCCTGAGTTCCACGAGTTGCTGCAGGAACCCGTGGACGGCGAGACCCCGTACGTCTGGCTGCGGGCGCCACGCAGGTATTTCTACGGGTGGGCTTTGTTCTCAAACTTGGATCGTTTATGTTCGTGGACTTGCAGCTTGTATCGGCTGGTGGATACGTGCGAGCACACGGGGCTCTTCGATGTTACGTTGGTCCCAGTGGAGGCATTGCCATTGCCCGACGGCGAGGTCGACGTGTGGCCCGTGCGGAGGCGCAAGCGAACCAGAGGCAAAGCTGACGATGCACCGAAGCCCGCTGGGCCAAAGAAGCCGACCGCCGATGCGCTGGAGGAGGACGAACCCGACGAGGGCAGCGGCTGCGAAGGCAATGCAGAGGGCCACGGCGACACCGAGGGCGAGAATGAGGAGGAGGGCGCTGAATCGGCCTCCGATCAGGACTCTGATGAGGGGCCCGATATGTGGGAGCTGGTGAAGCACCACCTTGGGGTTCTCGAGTCAAGCCGCGGTGACGAGAGCGGTGGACACGGCGGCGGACACGACGGCGGAGGGGGCGACGAAGGTGTTGGTGGGCACGACGGCGGAGGGGGCGAAGGTGCTGTACATCCAGGGGGCGCGCCGCCCCCGCCCGAGCCAGCTCCGCCGCCACCGCCCGAGCCAGCCGAGCCCGCTGCCCGTTCGAGATCTTCTTCTAGCAGTAGTTCTTCGAGCTCATCATCCTCGAGTGGCGGCGCATCGCGTGGACCTCGCGGCCGAGTCCTCGATGTGCTGGACATCCCAGGCGGCGGCCGCATCTCCTACTACAAGAACGGCGACTTCGTTGCGGAGTGCCCGAACCCGAAGCACGGCAAGAAGTGCAGATTGACGCGCACTTCGAGACGCAATGACAAGAGACCCGCCCAAGGCAAACCATTGGGTCTCATGATGGGTTGGATTTCACTGGCGTTCCCGGGGGCCTTCCCCAATTGCCACGAACACGTGCACAACAAGATGTGCTTCCCGAACCACAAGGCTAGGATCAAGTACAGGAAGGAGTTGGAAAAAATAGCAGGCAGCAACGACGTGCTGCAGCATGAGAACCCACGCGGCAGGCCCGAACCACCAGGCCTGTCGTGAGCTGGACAAAAAACCTGCGTCTGCAGTGGCGGGGGTTGGGAGGTGGAAGGGGTTGGTTAAGTTTTATGCTGGGCGAGGGGTGGAGCTGCGAGGGGGGGGGGGGGGGGGGGGGGGGGGGGGGGGGGGGGGGGGTGCGATTGGTATACGTAGCACCCCGCAATTGCGGATAAGAGCGAGGGGGCGGGCGCGGAGTGGGTCGCAGGGCGTGTCGTCGCGGGTGGCTCGCGGGTGGGCCGCGCGGTGGGTCGCGGGGTGGGTCGTGGGTGGGTCGCGGGTGGGTCGCGGGTGGGTCGCGGGGCGGGTCGTGGGTGGGTCGCGGGTGGGTCGCGGGTGGGTCGCGGGGCGGGTCGCGGGGTGGGTCGCGGGTGGGTCGCGGGTGGGTCGCGGGTGGGTCGCGGGCGGGGGTCGCGGGGGGGACGACGACAGCAAAACAACAACAAGCAGCAGCAGCAGCAGAATCCTCACCGCGGACCCCCACTTCAGCCGCGCACCCAGGGACAGTGAATGACAGTTCGGGCCCCCTCGCTCTGATAAGGTACGGGCAATCCCAATGCGTGCCGCCAGTGTGGCGCAGGGGGGGGGCGCGTACGCTTCGGGGCCTCATGGTAGGCCAAAGGCCCTTTGGGCCGCTTGGCATCCGCTCCTTCCAGGGACGCCGTCGGCCCCGTGGGCCCGCGCGCCGAGAAAAGCGCAGCAGTTTTCCTAATGTGAGCGGGTGGTCGGATGGAGGTCCTATTGGGCATTGCGACAGAGCACGATCGAGAAGGGAGCGCCCTCCATCAAGGTATGCATCGCAGAAGTACCGAAGCGCCCGCGTGGCGCCGAATCCATTGCACAGCGTGGCTTGGGAAAGTGGCCGCCCTCCATCCTCGCAGCTGCAGGGGCGCAAGGCAATGGTGCGCCCAGCATTGGATATCTTCCATGCCAAACGGCCGATCGTCCGTCGGGAGCCGCAGTCTGTCTTGCTCGCAGCGGGTCGCTGATAACTCAGAGTTCTGGCACGCGTGAAGACCGCCCTCCAGTCACGCCCGCTCCGCTGACCTCGCCCCCTGCGCTGGGCAAGCAGCAGCGCCAGTCTGTTGCGTTTTCTCTGTCCTCGGTCCACGCTGGCGGGTGGGAGGCGGGCCCTTCCCGCGCCCATGGCGCGGGATGCCCTCTTCGTCGGGGGCCCAGGGCCCAGGGTGGAGTCCAGGCCATCGGCGCAACCCCCTGAACATGTGACGCCCGTTCGAAACCGAGCCCAGGTAAACGTTGCCGCGGATGCGCTGGCCGAGCGACGAAGCCGAGACTGGGGTGCATTCGTTCGCGCCCTTTTTCCCCGCCCCCATCGCCCGCTCCATTCGCGGCGTGATTCGACGCCCCATCTCGTTCTTCCGTGTCATTGCTGATGGCCTCGCCCTCTCCGTCCGTAACCGTTTTGGCTCAAGGCATTATTCGGCACGCGCGCGCGCGACCATATTCGAGAACCTTCTGTTGCGTTTGACGCAAGACAGCGCAATGGTGGTCGCAGATTCCGCTGGCTTGGCCAGCCCTGTCACCGAGGGCCGAGCAAGCCCAGAGGTCACAGACACGCCAGCGGAAGCTTTTTTCGGCGCCCAGAGTCAAGCCGCGGAGACGCACGATCCAGCCAGCGTGGAGGTGAAAGCCGAGTCGGACGGAGGTCCCATTGGGCCCGTGGGTCATCTTACCGTGCTCCCTCTCATTTCACAGGACTCGACGGCTGCCCCTTCGGCGGACGTCCTTGGCCGCCAGCCTACCACACCAGAGTCCCTGACTAGAGTTGGCCTGGCCGACGAGGGCACGAACGTTGCGGTCTCCGAGAACCCTGGCATCACGTGGGAGAAGCAGAATGTGAATATCTCCCGCGAGTTCAAGGACACGAACGACATGGACCCCCACGAGAAAGCAGTGTTCTATCGGTTGCTGGCGGCTCACATCGGCCCTTGCCGCCCGCATCATGAGGTCAAGAAGCTGCGCCTCACTGTCAAGTACGAGGTGCAGGTGCTCGTGGCGCACATGGATGAGGACATTGAGACGGACTGAGGACGGCATTCCTTACGTGACGGGCGGCATTCCTTGCATGACGGAGTGAGCGAGTGCGGGAGTGGGTGAGGACGGCCGCGCGCGCATGGCGCGCGCGCGGCGGAGTGAGAGAGGACGGCCGCGCGCAGGCCATGCAACGGAAGGTGCGTGCGAAAACACAAGTCCTGAACATGTGCGACGCTTCGCGCGCTCCGCCATCCCAACCTGGGGCGATGCCTAGGCGAGTTGCTTTGATCCGAGGAGTTGAAAAACTGCAACTGGACGAACGAGGGGGGGTGATGAGCAGGACTGGGGGAGGGGTGATTTGAGCACGAGGCTGGGGGGGGGGGGGGCGGGGGGGCGCACCAGGAAACGAAATGGCATTCACCCTTACTGGAAGGGTGGCGGGAAAATGTTACCGCCGACGCTCACATCGTTATTGGCTGTGTTGCAGTTTGCTGCGTCGCATTTTGTCACCCTCGCCCTGGGCGGCCAAATGCAACACAGCAAAATACAACGCAGCGAAAATGGGGCACGCGCCGAAGTAAACACAGGGAGGAAGTAGATACCCACCCCCCTCCAGTCACGGGGTGGCGCGTTGGAGGGCTTCGGCCAAAGGGGGGTGAGGCGAGGGCTTTCGTTCGCATTGTCCCACCGCTGGGTGCTCTAGCTCGCGCGTCGGGGCTCCTCGATGCGCTTTGGTCACCGCTGTGCGTTTTGGAGTTCTTGGGTTCTTGGGGGCGCATTGAACCTTCGGGCGCATCGCGGAGGTGTCTTGGGCCATCTTGGAACAATCTCGGATCTGCCAGGGCCAGTCGGGAAGCGATAGTGTCATGATGCAGCGCTCTGCTTTCTTTCAATTTCGGGCGGGGGGGTGCGTTTGTTTGGCTTCCGTGGGGGCCTCCGCGGCCATTCGGAGGAGTCTCGTGAGGGCCTCGGGTATCTGGGACCATTTCTGACGCAATATTTAACCGCGGTGGGCTACTCTGAGCCACCGTGGATGTCGCCACGAGGCCATCTGGGCTTTCATAGGGTCACGCACGTCCATATTGGATGCCCCAACCCTTCAATCACCCCCCGCGCACTGCCTGGGCCCAGCGAGGGGCGGCGCGAGGGCCCACCGCGCCCCTCCCCAAAGGGGGGCGGGGCGGGGGTTGGAAGGGGAGCTGACCCAGCAAGCCTTTGCCCAGAGGGCTGGCGGATTTCAGTCCCTCGCTTGGGACTTCCTCATACGGCGCGTCGCTGGCATGTAAACCTCTGAACAGCTACGCGGATGGAGGTCGGCCAACGTTTAACACTTGCTTCATGCTGATTTTACATATGGTTGAATTTCTTGATCGCGCGCATCCCCCGTCCACCCCACATCGAACGATAGATGACAACAGCGCTCGCGCAAAATGAGTTGCAGCCTTACGTAGCACCCCGCAATTGCGGATAAGAGTGAGGGGGCGGGCGCGGGGCGGGTCGCAGGGTGCGTCGTCGCGGGTGGGTCGCGGGTGGGTCGCAGGGTGGTGGGTCGCGGGGTGGGTCGCGGCTGGGTCGCGGGCGGGTCGCGGGGTGGGTCGCGGGGTGGGTCGCGGGGTGGGTCGCGGGTGGGTCGCGGGCGCGTCGCGGGCAGGGGTCGCGGGGGGGGAGGAGGGGGGGGGGACGACGACAACAAAACAACAAGCAGCAGCAGCAGCAGCAGAATCCTCACCGCGGATCCCCGCTTCAGCCACGCACCCAGGGACAGTGAATGACCGTTCGGGCCACCGCGCTCTGACTAGTGGGCTTACGGTGCGCTCATTTTTAACTGATTGACCTCCCCAGTGAAAGGGACATGCGACGAGCGGGCTTCAAGCGCGGGAAGGCGTTGTGGCGTCCTTGATGCGTTGGGTTAGCGTTGGCCCTGCATCGTGACATTCCTCCTATGCCTCCCCCTTGTTTCCTCATCCTCCGCTTGCCCCCCCGCTGTCCCTTCTTATTATCCTGCTACTCCTTATCCACGCCCTCTTCCTACCACCGCCATCCGTTGCCATTTTGGGCCGAACAGTGTTAGTCTACGCCGTAAGTTTCTAAAGGCGGCAGAATACCACTGCAGCTCGGCATGCGCCGATTCCACTGCGAAC